ACATCGTCCTATTAAAGGTAGAGGTATATGAAAGGGGTGGAAAAGGAACTCTTTCCTTTAAAATAATGGCACTGTAATTAAAATTTGGGATGAGTCAGGTGACAGAAAAACAAGATTCAACGATGGGAACTGACGGAGTTGAAACTTGAATAATATAATTTTAACAACTCAGAGTGTTACAAGCAGCGATAAAAAACATTCAAAGGCACAATAATTGAAAGGGATTAGTCATACTGATGCAGTATTTGCATATTCAAAATTAATGTTGTGTATGAATTGAATTTGAAATTTCGTTTTCAAGTTTGAGCTTGATGTGGTTTAGCCAAGTACGTGGGATGTTTGAATAGTAAATAATTTCCATCATTAACGAGTGGCAGTGAATATATCAACGGAATTACCAAATGCTGAGATCAACATTTCCCGCTACTGGTTCACAGAAGAGGAACAAGAAGGATGATATTAGCCGGGTAGAATTACGTATCTAATTGTAAAACTAAACCATGGTCATAATAATTCACCCTCAATAATCATATGTTACATAAAGCAAGCCCACCTACAGGCAGTATCAAATTGCTACAAAAATCACAAAACAAAAATATGACTATGAAGTTGCCAAAAATATTCCTAATTTGACAACACTTCAACCAGTGACACCCTTTTTAATTTAATCGTCCACATTCAGTGAAATTAACGATCAGAAGTTAGGGGATGTGAAGATATATTCGATAAGTTATCAATTAATCGAGAAGTGACTGGTCTAAAATGGCTAGCGGTTGCATGAGAAGTTGCTCACATTGGTCTCACTCGTCACCTGGTGCGGATGCTTGACCGAGCGCCTTCAGCTAGGTGAGTCCATTAAAGCTAATGTGGTCAGCATCAATTATCGAAGACCTACAGAGCTACTGATCTTAAACATTTATTTATCGCTACAACTACTTATACAGTAGTGATTATAACTACAATTTTCAGTCGAACACTCTGAGCTGGAAATGGAATTGAATATGTTCCGGAATGAACGTCAAAGTTGAACTTCGAAGAGACTCTTTACTTTGTAAACTTGAATATTTAAGCAAAAAGTTAATGCAGTGGCACAATTTCAAAATGCATGTTGGGAAGCTACTCTGAAGATATGAAGTATGCTTCTTGGTATTTTGTTTACATGCCAAGTATGGATCTTCACCTGCATTTTTGAAGCTTCAGCTGGTAATTATCCATTTCTCTAGTTATATCACTGAGGAACTTTAGACTGGGAATTGTCATGCTATAACGAGTCTCTGCGCATACATTATGGCTCTGAAAAAACAATAATTATTCGTGAGTTTCGCTTTGGTTATTTTCGTGAGATTCTACATATGTCAAACTCAACCAATCCGTGTCGTGCACACAATTCTCGAGATTGTTGGGTCGATGTGACTGCCAATATATCTAGAAGATGTTCTGGTCATTCTGTATGTAAAAATCTTGTTCGTTATTCATCTGACTTATCTGCTGATTTGTTGGCGAGAGAATGTTCTTTCATAATCGACAATGCAGTTGAGCTAACGTTGTTCGTAGAATATGACTGTATTTCAACATGTAAGTTTAGTGATGTGTTCCGTAGTTTCTAACACTTGCAACTAATCTTTTTGGCTTTTTCTGTATGACCAACCAACAATTGTTTGAAGCAGTATCGTCCATAGCTAGAATGTTTTATATCCTTCTTGTTGATCCTCTGACTCTGCTTACAATTAGTTTCACTAGTAAAACTTGACTCATTCACATCCTATTCTATGCATGTAGTTTCTTCGAATTTCGGTCATTATTGAAACTATGATACATAGATGCAGTTATTAGTCTTTATCACGAACATGACGGTTATGCAGTACAAATTCACTTGGTTGTAAGGTTGTAGAAACCGTAGTTAGAAGCCCAAAAGAGTTCTTAGGATTTTTAATTCATTATTCGGCGAAACTTTAATTCATGGACGAACCAGTCAGATATAAAATAACGAGCCACGAGTTATGGAGCGAAATTCATTCATACATTTGGCTAAATAGAGTTTTGGCATTATAGCTGATGTCGGTTCGTCATGAAAACCCTAAATCTAATTTCTAACCCGAACCATCAGCTGTAATTGAGAAGTCTTACTGCTTTATAACTCTCATTTAGTCCTTGTCAGTAGGTTTCAACTCTAAAGTTCCCTTCAGTATCTCTCAAAGGTCTTCCATAAATTTTAGTCTCACCCATAAATCTTTTCCCGGTCGTTTTGCTTTCTTCAGTTTCTGTGAGATATTTAAAGAACTTGTTTGGGTTTTTCTATATATGGCTATTATTTTCAACTCGTTACCTAGTAACACTTCGTAGCAAGTGATTATAATCATCTGTGTATGAACAAGTTATTTCGTTCATAATCAAGTGGTTTTTGTAAATTATTCTGTTCTGTAAGTATTGAGATTCCCTTGATAATATTTGCAGAAATATCTTTGTCAAGTTTTCTATTTATACCATCACACCATGTTTATTAATAAAATGATCATTAGAAGGAACGTTTTAATTCGCCGTAAAAACTCAGATTCTTGAAATGAATGCCTGATTCAATGTTTTTTTCATCTATTTGAAATGAAAACAAGTTCAAAAGTTGTGTGGTAGCCACCAATAGTTATGAATTACTAAAACTAACAGCATCAATCAATAACAATTAATTGTCTCAAAAACAGGTGGTTTTCTAATCGTCTCACATCTCGAGCCTCTGACTTACAGGTCTAACCCACAAGAAAGTGGGTAAACGTTATGAGATGCAGTCACATGATAGTCGGTGGCCAACAATAGGTTCATACGCCCTTTGTTCCCTCAGGTTCCTAGAGCCCATATGCACGACCGATTTGGAACCAGGGTTTTGCAACTTCGTTAGGTTGATCTTCTGTCTCCACTAGCCCAGTTAAAGCGCCAGACACTTGCTTATTAGCAGTGTTTATTCACTGAATATTTCTTTTTTAAAACGTGGTTAACTTTAAAGTTGAACAGCTTAAAAACCTGTGTAAATCAAACCTTGACAACTTGGATTCGCTAGTGTCCGTTTTGTAGAAAATTTATTTTTGTGTAATTAACGTTTGTACGGATTCGTTTAGATTGAAGCAAACAGATAAATGTTTGTGTTTTGTGCACCTGAATGGCTTCTGATGATATTTGTTTATATGCTAAAACGTTACTACACTACAATAAAGTTCATGAAACTTCGTTTTCAGAAGTTGTTAGTTGTTTTAGCCTCAACCAATAAAGTGTGATATATTTATGTTGTTAAAATAACCAATTTTTGAAAATCACATTTCTTTCTTTAAATCAAGTTATTCTATTCACTGTATGTATTGATTTATGATACGTTTATAAATAAAAATCTGAATATTTGAGATATGTGACGTTAAACATTATTGATTTGCTTACATTTTATAGTACACATATTTATTTGGACACTTTAGATTTTCATTTGTTTAGTTGCTCAGAAAGATAAATAGTTTGTAATTTTGCTTTTCGTATCCTTTCATAACTGTAAATTAACTGTATTTAAATGGTTAAATTCACAAAAATGTATTGTGGATGCGCACTGCTGAGGAGTTCCATAATAGGACGAAACGGGCGTCTAGTGCTTCTAAGTTTTCTATGGTGGTCCAGCTTCATAATCTCAACTGTTGAAATTACTACAATTTCCGCGAAACCCCTTCTGATATCAACATTATACGTTTAACATTGATTCTTGAAACGGAGTATTTGAAATTAGTCGTCAAAAAAGAACTCTTCTTGAACTAGCTTGTTCTCTGTTTAGTACTTTTTATCAAAAAATACTTTCGCTTTTGTATATTCGCTTCCTCACTAGTGTTTCATCTATTTCCACTATCCTTCCGACTCCTCCAAATGATTCTTGTAGACGTGTCATTTTGATTGCACATATATCAAGACAATACGCGTAGCACTGAACGGTGGAAGTTTTTGTAACATCTGCAAAAGCTGTAGCTAATGTCACTGGAGACTTTATAATCCGATTTGCAGCAATTGTCATGATTGGCTCGTCCATAAATTATAGTCTCGCCAAGATTTTTAATCCAATAATCGGCGAAACTATAATTCATGGACGAACCAGTCAGATATAAAATAACGGGTGATGAGTTATGGCGTGAAATTCATTCATACTTTTGACTAAATAGAGTTTGGCATCATAGCTGATGTCTGTTTGTGATGAAAACTCTAAATCTAATTTCTAACCTTAATCATCACAACATACTTGCAATTTTGATAGAACTGATACCTTATGGTAGATTGAAATCCGAGTTATTGATTAACTTGCAAGAAATCTAGAGGTACTCAAAATAAAATGTGGTATTAGTCCACCAAATTATTGGCTGTTGGCCTGAGCCATATGTGTTGGTGCAGATTACCTGGTTGATGTCCACGCAATAACTGCGATCAGCGACGCGGCTAATAACCGACCATGATGGCACATATCCATTCACACTCTGTCCTCCTCTAAATCTGGAGTTTCATTATTCCGTCGTACATTAGCCATTCATTTTGCTTTTTCGTACCATGGCTTCAGTGCTTAGTCTTTTCATTATCAATACTACTACAGTTATTTCCACTCCTTTGTTATTCGTCTCGATTTGCCAATGTGATATGGTGACTAGGGCCAACGAGCGTTTGTGACAGGCTTTAAATTGACTGTTACTGGTTGACTGTCGGACTATTGGTTTTATTATTATCATTATATTTCCATTTTACAAATTTTGTATCTTTTTCTAAATAGTTCTTGTAACACGAATATCTAATGAAAATCATGTGGATCCTGAACAGATTGGCGGTCATTTATTCAGCTTTAATTATAATGAAATAGTAAAAAAAGGGTCAGAATGAAGAAGTCACTTAGCTGAGGCAATGTTTAATCCCAAATCAAATCATTTACCTCATCAGTTCTATTTACCAGCGCTCAAAATTGCAGCAGCAAAATATTCAATTGATGATAATGATTCTTTTAGCAGCTACGGTGAAAGTGGTCATCGTGAAAATAATCATAATGGTCTACTGAACAAAGGCAATTCGTTTTATTCATTCAAATCATAATTGTTGCGAAAAAAGTATCACAAGCAACGTAGAACTTTGCATAAGCGTGTATCGGTTCAGCTCACCAGATCATATCAATACAACAAGATGAAATTATCAAGATAAATCCCATCACTGTCTCCACTGATGCTGAGCCATGTTAACAATGTCTCCAACCATTAGTCACGTTAGTCACTCTTATCTCAACCAGGTGGTACTCGCCCATCAACATAGCTCAAACTATAAATATAGTATGGGGAAAAGCCAGTCAAAATCGGGAACATGACTTGTGGGTTTTTGTGCAAAATTCATTTATCACGTATCACTAATATCAGACATACTTTTGTATTCGTTCAAACTCATAACAAAGTATTAATTTTTTCACAGTGTTACATGTATTATATTGTAAATAACGAGTAAACTAAAACTATCCTTACATTCTGATCTTAAATCTTTAATGCTGAAATAAACATTCACTTATCGGCACTATATTTTATGGCCTCTTGGATGAGTGGAATTCAGTCATCCATATTCGTTTCGAGGGAATGTTTTGTATTATATCTGATGCGAACTCGCGACTGCCAGTCCTAACCATAAATATCTTACCCTAATCATAAATAATTTAGAGGTTTTTGAATCATTTGTAGTATTTCAAAAGATAGATAATTCATATCCACAAGGATGGATATATATGACTTTGATTTTTCAATTAAGAGAGTAGCTATTAATTTGTCTACACTTTCCAGTGCTATTGTTTTCTTTGCCATAACCTATCCATTTACAGAAGCTGCTTTTCGATTAACTAAGAGGGCAGAGAGTGATCTATGTTGTTTACTGAGTGCATTTCACAACATCTTCAATTAGTTTCATAATCAGGATATTATTTTGATAATGCTTAGAGTATCGATATAACCTTTATGTTCTGCTTAATTATTTGTTGTTTAGCGTAAATTTGTGGTCACAACATCTTGAAGCTTGTTCATAACATAAGAGTGGAGGTCAGTTACATGTTGGATAACTCAATTGTAATATTTCTGACTGTGATATTGAGTGATGTGGATTAAAATCGTCTGGGAAACTTGGGTTACCTCAAGAGTATATATGTCATATCTTGCCATTTAATGCTAACTGACATGAAACAAGTTGAACAGATCTTCTCATTAATTTCCTCCAACCATCTGAGATGGTGGATGTAGACTGGTTGATGTTTGCACCATTATCATAACCAATGGTCAAGGACATTGGATAATATGATTCAGAATCCGTCACGATGGTGGAGATATACTAATTCCTTGTCTCCCCTTATCTATGAAGCTTTAAAGTTATCTTATATTTTTTATTCCTACAAATTCATTCTTTCCTTTTTAACTACATTCTATGCCCAATGTTTTCAACTACCATCGATGTGCATACAACGTCCACTACCATGGGTTTATATTCATGTTTTCATCTTGACATCCCCTCACTTAAACACATTTTATCTGGTTTTCTTAAACCCCACTAGATATGACTTCTTATCACAGCGTTTTGAAGATCGTCCTTCATGTGGTTTTTCATAATTGCTTAACTATAAAATCAGTTGGTGATGTAAACTACAAGTTGGACATTCTCCACAAATCATTTATTACTAGTAATAGTAATACTAATACAAATAGTAATACTTCTAAATGCCCTGGTATGGCCGAGAGTGAGTTGAGCCCGCCCTCGCACTCGAAATGCTTTAACACAGCCACGCGTATACAGCCTCTGTCAGAGAAGTCCTACTCACTGCCTTTTTGTGGTGGGAGTGTTGTTTACGAGAATAAGAGGACGAAAAGCAAATGTCCGGTGGTTTAACCAGATTCCAAACCAATGGTGCACATGCGGCACAGCATCCTGCGGGAACGAATGGCGTATGAACCAATTGTTGGTCAACGGCTACCATGGGATTGCTGCACCCCACGATGCTCCATTGTCTCGTGGATCAGACATTTGGGTCAAAGGCTAGGGGTATGGCCCTCTAGAGAAACCACCTGTTTCGGTCTGGGCTCCCGGACAGTACCACAGCTTACACACAAACAGAATGAAATGACGATACTTACGGAAAATACTACACTTGCTTCGGTTTCAGTCAAACGATGAACATTATTATTATTATTAGTAGTAGTACTATCTACTAGTTCACGTTTTCACTCTCTTTTATACTCACACTGTATATCATTATTTCTCGACTTATTCAGCAGCTCGTTTATGGTGGAAATTCGACTGTATCTAAACGTTCTCGAGTCACTGTCCGGTTGAAAATTGTATGGTACCACCGAATACGAGGACTGAAGCAGTTTTTCTGAAACCACGTGCACCATTCAAACTGGCTGCCTTCAACGTTCGCACAATTATGCAGGTTGGACAACAGATAGCGATGGCTATGTCTTTAGAAAGTCTTCATATCAATGAAGTACTACAAATTCGCTCTTCATCTGTTGCTTCGTAAACCTTGTTTTACGTGCGCTTATCCGAGGATCCTGTGTCATCTTCGTCTAGTCTTGCTGGTGTAAATGTCGCACTGAGCGCTAGAACCGAGGCAGCACTAATCGATTGGATCCCCGATAACAGTCGGTTATGTGTTATTTTATTAGAAAGTTCCATCAAAATGAGGAAATATAGGTGTGAGAAACGATGTCTTTTCGTCACCTCCACCTTTGCCTCGACGGATTGCAGCCCGGATGCAATCAAGGATGAATTCTTCCACCAGTTATCTGTTCTTCGCCAGAAAGTGAGTTATATGTTATTGACCTAGAAGGTTTGCTAAATTTTACGTGACCAATCACATAAAAGTTAAGATTATCATAGGAAATGTAAACCTTAGAAACGTAATCAGCTTATAGCCATTCAAATATAAGAATTCATGTATTAAATGAAGATTTAGGAAACAGACTATCAATCTCTAGGACAATTAGTAACTCACAGATTATTGTCAACTGCTATCACAACCCGAGTTTACAATTATCTTGACAAATTACTCGTTAAATTATTGGATGTAACTTGGAAAATGATTTCATCTTAACATACAAATTCCTAATCCATTAGTCCTATGCAGAGATAAAGATCAGGATTTTTGATTTTAAATAATTCATTATCAGTATATCAATTTTTAATAGATTTTGATTCATTTGATCACCAAAGTGTTCCAGAATTTTCCTATCGTTATACTACACCCTATTCAATATTCCTGCCCTTCCATTTCTCTATTCCTAAAATATACATACAAACAACGAGTTGGCTTTCTACGGGATGGTTTCGCCAACCCCATGCCTAGTCCTCCTCCTTTGCCCGGGCTTGGGGTCAGCAGTAGCCCCAGAGGTGTTCCAGGCAGAGTTATACATATAAAATGATTAACCTAATATGTTTTTTTATGTTGCTCTCTTCCATACTAAGTGACATTTATCATTTACTTGTAAACTAATCACATTTATATGATTAATATATATATTCAATCGACATTTATTAAATTTTCGAATAATTCAGTTCAGCTTTTTCAATAAATTTCCGACCATACTTTTCTGTCTTCAGCTAATATAAAGTGACCAATGTCAATTATATATCATCCTACTATTATTAATAAGAATCATATATTTGTATTGTCCTAATGGGTAGAAAAGTTGAGCTTTTTGGCGTTTTATTACTCAGTGTAAGTCGCTTCTTCAGAGAATAAACAACCACATTAAATTAACTCAAGTTTACTTAATATAAAGGAACAGAGTAAGAATATTGAGTGTAACTAATCAGAAAAAAAGTCTGATCAAGTCAATGTTAGATGGTTTCGGTCGAAGGGATTTATAGGAGACATGTTTGTGTAGTTGTACGTGTTTATGTTAATGGATGAAATATGTGTAAGTAGCATGGAGTTGAATTTGTATGTAGGATAATAGTGTGAAGTGTAAATAGAATCAGACATGGTAGCTTGGATAAGTTGGATGGATGGTACGGATTATCCTGAGCATTGAAAAAGGAACTGGCAATAAATGTTTTGTGATAAAAACAAGCATAATATAATGATAGAGAGGAAGCTTCCAAGTAATGCAGTACAATCAGTCAAAGACAAAAATTTAATGTGTTCTCTGAGTTAGAGCTTTCATTAATATTTATTCCGGACATCTTTAGAGCCTAATTTATCTCAGTAATTAAACTAAATAGTTCAGAAAACACATCACCATCATTTCAGATAGCAATGTATAGACGAACTTCTTTGTATTAACACTATAACAAGGAGAACAGCCAGGATGGCATAAGAACGAAAAAGGAACTGGAAATAGTAATATTCACATATGCAATCGGGAAGTTGTAAAATCATACAGAGTCGAGATTTTCAAAAAAGAAGAATAAAAGGTTGTGTGAATTGACAGTGGGATCAAGAAGATTTACGAAAATTGGAAGGATATTCGGAGAGAGAAATGCGAGATAATACACACAATTCAAGGACTATAAAACAATAAATAACAGTAGCGACTGTAGATAGCACTTAGGTTGATCGAGATCCGTGGAACCTTTGTAAAATCCGTATATTATTTGAATAATAAGCATAAGTTAGAAATAAACCAACTACTCCAGTACCCCAGAGAATACAATCACGAATCGGATGAGATACAACTGACTTGTCGATAACTGAAGATTTTACTGTATGGTGATAAAATGATGAGTAAAGCACGAGTAGATTAATTCAAAGCATGTTAGATACTGACATTTTAATCTAATGAGTACATATACATTCTCCAATTAGATAGTAACAATTGAGCGATAAAACCTTTTGGTTTTCAGCCACTAAGTCTCAGGTTCAA